TTGATTCCAAAGGTAATAGGTTTGTCCTATGAAGAGAAATTGAGCAGTTTAGGCCTGTACTGACTGGAGTTTAGAAGAACGAAAGGAGATCTAATTGAGGTATATAAGATGCTCAAGGGGATTTATCCAAGTACATGTGGAAAGGATGCTTCATGTGGGGTAAACTTAAAACGAGAGGCCATAGTTCTTGGAGAAGGGATTACAGATTTTAAAACAGCGATGAGGAGAAATTACTTTTAAAGGGTCACGAATCTTTGGAATTCGGTACCCCAGAGTGCAATGGATGCTGCGACATTGAATAAATATACGGAGGAGATAGACAGATTTTTAATTCGTAATGGTTGAAGTGAAGTTGAGGCTGAGATGAGAGCAGTTGTGATGACATCAAATGGCAGAGCCGACTTGAGGCTAAATTACCTACTCTTGCTCCGAGTTCTTATAAAACATCGTGAAAATATTCTACAGGCACATGAACAAATGAAAAAAAGGAATCAGAGATAGTAGGAACTGCAGATGCTGGAGAATCTGAGATAACAAGGTGTAGAGCTGGATGAACACAGCAGGCCAAGCAGCATCGGAGGAGCAGGAAAGCTGACGTTTCGGGCCTAGACTCTTCTTCAGAAATGGGGGAGGGGAAGGGGGTTCCGAAATAAATAGGGAGAGAGGGGGAGGCGGACAGAAGATGGATAGAGGAGAAGATAGGCGGAGAGGAGACAGACAGGTAAAAGAGGCGGGGATGGAGCCAGTAAAGGTGAGTGTTGGTGGGAAGTTAGGGAGGAGATAGAATATGAGTTGCTGTTCCTGCAACCTTCGGGTGGCATCGTTGTGGCACTGCAGGAGGCCCAGGATGGACATGTCGTCTGAGGAATGGGAGGGGGAGTTGAAATGGTTCGCGACTGGGAGGTGCAGTTGTTTAGTGCGAACCGAGCGTAGGTGTTCTGGACTGCACCTCCCAGTCACGAACCATTTCAACTCCCCCTGCCATTCCTCAGACCCAGAACACCTGTGCTCAATTCGCACTAAACAACTGCACCTCCCAGTCACGAACCATTTCAACTCCCCCTCCCATTCCTCAGATGACATATCCATCCTGGGCCTCCTGCAGTGCCACAACGATGCCACCCAAAGGTTGCAGGAACAGCAACTCATATTCCACTTGGGAACCCTGCAGCCCAATGGTATCAATGTGGACTTCACAAGCTTCAAAATCTCCCGTCCCCCTACCGCATTCCAAAACCAGCCCAGCTTGTCCCCGCCTCCCTAACCGGTCCTTCCTCCCACCTATCCCCTCCTCCCACCTCAAGCCCCACTCCCATCTCCTACCTACTAACCTCATCCCACCCCCTTGACCTGTCTGTCCTCCCTGGACTGACCTATCTCCTCCCTAACTCCCCACCTACACTCACCTGGCTCCATCCCCACCTCTTTGACCTGCCTGTCTCCTCTCCACCTATCTTCTCCTCTATCCATCTTCTATCCGCCTCCCCCTCTCTCTCCGTATTTATTTCAGAACCCCCTTCCCCTCCCCCATTTCTGAAGAAGGGTCTAGGCCTGAAACGTCAGCCTTCCTGCTCCTCTGATGCTGCTTGGCCTGCTGTGTTCATCCAGCTCTACACCTTGTTATCTGAAAAAAAGGAATGTTAGGATGGGAATGTGACCATGAAAGAGTGATGATTGGGGATCATAATGAAATCAGTCAAGCAAGACTCATTACATCAGATCATTAGATCATTATGTGAGCAATGTTATACCATGCATCAAAAAATGCCCTTCCACTGCCTTTTATTGCAAAGTTGGGTACAATACTTGTGGATTGGGAGGCAAGAAGTTAGATTTTGATGTTTATAAAAGATCATGTGCCTTTTCTGCACTTAAAGATGTAAAATGGATGTCTGTGAGCAGCAGTTTCAAAGTTTGCAAGTAAATAGAGTGCCCGAATTGAAACAATTGTATCAAAAGGCTGCACAATTAGCAGGTCAAGCAGCAGTTTTTACCAAGACAGCAAGCTTTTGAATTTAGCCAATCCATGTGAAGAAGTCACTCAAATATCAAAAACCTATTAAATTTAAATCTGATGGTTTTGACAACATAGCACCAATCCTATTGTAAGAAATATTGATATGTCATCCATGGTATAAAAAGAAGAGGCGAGTTGGACAAAACCGCAGAGATAGCTTTGGCGGATAGCAGCTAACAGCTCTCAGCCCTCAGCTCTCAAGAGAATGGCTGGCTCTTACAGCCTCCTTTCTGTCTTGGAGAGAGCACCATCTAAAAACCAATGGCACAACTAGTTGATATTCCTGACAGAAGAATCGATGGAGAAGGCACAGAACATTGTGGAAGACGTGTAACCTTGCTGTAATTTTGAGAGACTAAATTCTTTTTTATATACAAGTGGGACTTGAATTTATTGGAACAGCATACCATTAGAATCTTGTTTTATTTGAGAATAGTTAGGAGTTAGGGATTTATTCAGTTTGTTAATAGTTTAGTTAATTTGATCACTGTTTGATTTTTAAAATGAGTGTCAGGGCTTTATTTTATTTAACCACTAGAAGTTGTTGAAAAACAGGTTATACCACTTTTCACACTCCTTTTTACTGATTATAGGGCGAGGTGTTCCTTTTGGGTGATTGGTTTTAGTTCTCGGAGGGGGTGTGGTCAACCTCTGCCTCCTAACACTTAGCCGTTCTCAAGTTCTGTTTCTTGAATTCACATGCCAGTTATTCAAAGTGCTTTGAAGTGCTGCATATCACATTGCTCATATGCATATTCTAAAGTCCACAGCATGCTTTAACTTCTGAGTTCAGCATTTGATTTGTTTAACCAACAGGTGGAGTGTTCAAATATTTCATCATTTGTACAATTAGTGTTTAACTGTTTGGTTACAAAAGAGATGAATTATCCTAATTTCATAGGTATGATTTATGATACATTTAATTCAGATTTGGATGATATATGGTTATGTCCAATGATGAGTGCAAACATCAATACAGATGTTAATGTTTGCCTTTGATAATACTGATGTGATATTCAAGTCAATTCCCGCTTCTAGATGAAATGACTTTTGCCATGTCTAATTTGAATAGTTATGGTGTTTGATTGCATAAAAATATAACAAAGTTGAGTAATTCAATTGAGCTCCACATAGATATTAATGCCTCACAAGACAATGGGATAAATATTGCAGCATGTCTCTTGAGAAAAGTACCACTGTCAGCAATATATTTTCTTTTGATAAATTATGTACCTTTGTTTCAGTCTGTAGCTGTGCTGGGAGAAAGTTTCAAGCAGTGATTCTGAATTCAATTTTAAGTATATTAAGTGATGTCTAGACAGATGCTGTCATGCCTCTTTCAGACTTGGATAAAATACCGAACTACCAGGGGGTGTGGTGGAAACAGATTCGGTGATTGCTTTCCAGAAGAAATTTGATATTATCTCAATATAAGTACTTTGCAAGACTACGAGGAAAAGGGAGAGGTGTGGAGTGAGCATCTTGGAGTCGCAGAATTGCTTTTAGAGAATGTTGGCAGTGACATGATGGGCTGAGTGGCTTCTTATGTTGTTGACCATTCTTGGATTTATCACATTTGTGGCTTCTTGATTTGTGCAAAATGGCTGCTGTATTTCCATTACCATTAGTGCAGTGTGAATTTATTCATTGGATCAGCCAATGAAATGGAGACATGGTGGAATTTATGGCTGAGCAAGTGTATTTTTAGTAAACAATGTCTGTTCACAGTATCTTTTAAAGAGGGTCTGTTTTTAAAAAAAAAAAGTCAACGGAGCTCATGCATGACTAAAATGAAAGCAACATGATAAAACTGTGATTTCAACAGCTAGTGGGATATAGTTGCATACCAATTATCTCCATAGAATTAATTCTGGTCACTTAAAGTAGTTGAGGGAAGGCTCCCCTCGTTTCTCCATTCTGGCCAAGAACACTGGATTGGCATCCTATAAACTGGCATTGTGTTTCAAAGCAGGTCGCCATGTGAAACACTTGGTGATTTACTTCTGAGGGATATCCAAGTTGTAAATACAAGACCATTTGTTTCATTCCTTCTTTTAATTGGGAGGAAGTGAACTCTTTACCTTGACTTGCTTAAGGCATGTTCATTTTTCATGTGGCCCAAAGTATTTTTTTCATATATGGGATATGAGCATCACTGCTTAGGTCAACATTTATTGTCCATACCTAATTAACCAGAGGGCAGTTAGCTGTGGATCTGGAGTCACATATACGCCAGACCAGGTAAGGACAGCAGATTTCCTTTTGTAAAGAGCGTTAGTGAACCAAATGGATTTTTACAGCAATCAACAATGGCTACATGATTACTGTTAGAATTGCTTTTTATTTCAGATTTTACTAATTCTGATTTCTTCATCTGCCATTGTGGAATTCAAACCCATGCTCCCAGAGCATTCCTCTGGGGTACTAGTCCAGTGATATTACCACTACACGCTACTGTTCTAAATCTGAGATTGTCATCTTTGAAATAACCATCTGTTATTGACATTATCTTCTCCAGGTTCTTACGATTTAGATACCTAGCTTCAGTATCTGAGGGCAGTGAGAACACTCAACTGAATCCTGGAAACATAGTTTTGAATCTTGAGACTATATCTACTTTTTCCTAAAGCAGTGAAGTTATTCTGAAGGTGGATGCCTAACACCTTAGATAATTCTGTACATGTGACTCCGGTTATAAATTTTAGAGGTTTACTTGAATTGGTTTGTATTTCCTAGATGCATTTCATTGTTACTTTTTTCATTAGCAGAGTCACATTGAGCAGACAGCATTATGAAAGGTTAATAATTTGAATCAAGATGTTATTTTCCTTCTTTCAATCTTTGTTAAAGAACATTAAATTGTTGATATATTTTCTGTTTCCTGTTCCATTGTACCTAACTTTTCACTTTATTTTAGATGATTTCATGTTTGTGTTAAAATCCATCAACCTTTTTCTCATTACAAACTATTTAATTATTTCAGATCATTGTGAATGCTGTTGTTTTTGGACCTGATCACCTGAATAGACCTTGATGTTATCTGCCATTTTTTTTTGTGTAAGTATCTTTCTACCTATTAATGTAGACAACAAGATTCCAAAAGAGAATGCAGTGGAAATCCATTGACTCCCTTCCTGTTGTAAATTTTGATGATCGTATTTATGTAACAAATATCAAGTGGGTTTTAACCACATCAGCTAATTTGACACGTACGGTGTACATTAGTCATTTTATTAAGGCTTTCTTGTGTATCTTTGTTAAATGCCTTCAGAAAGCCCAGACCAATTATAATCACTACCTCTGTAATTTAATTACTTTTTTAAAAGATTCAAGAGGATTTGTTGAATGTAATGTGTTATAAATTCTGTGTTGACTATCATGGTTAGAGGACTATGAATAATATTTTAGCAGCGACTTTTTGACTGATCTTCCAACTTCTGATATTTCAACTTGTAATTTCTAAATTCCTGAATGTTTTTTGATTTTTGAGATTATTGCTGTGAATGTTCAGATTTGTGTGAAACTCCTGAACCTAATTCACCAAATGTTGCTGAGAATAACAGCAATTGTTGGCTGATTTTAGCCTGTCGTTTGGAATGGTTAACATGCCAGATTGGTTGCCCTGTACAGTGACCATTCCGATTGGCAGGCTTAAAAACAGAAATTGCTGGAAAAGCTCAGCAGGTTTGGCAGCATCTGTGGATAAAAGTCAGAATTAATGTTTCGGGTCTAGTGACCTTTCTTCAGAACTGGTAGGTTATTTGGCCGATGAGTCCAGGACCCCTAGGGGCATGGGCTCCTGCTGATTGGCACTGGCTGCATCCCCTTCCACAGTACCCTGCAAAGAACTATTCCCTGCTATGTATATATCCTTACAGCAAGTGTAAATGCGCTTGGTTACAAGCTGAACTGGTTCCGGTAAATTCACTGTTAATATAGCGATTGGTGCGCATGTGATTGTACAGCAAGTGCTGCCCCATTGCAGAATCACATCGAGCAGTGGACCCTTGATTTGGATTTCAAAGTGTGGACTGACTGAATGCTGCGTGTATTCTGCTAATCATGAATGACCAAAGGAACATGATGTTTCCGATTGCTGAGATGTATGGCCCTGCTTACCTGGCATTATTTTGGCACTGAAATTCATGCATAACGCTGCTTGTTGTGTGTTGGGTGGAATGTCATTTTGGACTGCTAGCATTATCTTTATCAGTGAAATTACCACTTGTATAGCCATTGTGCAGGAGCAATGCAAAATTTTTTGCATTAATATTTTGTTTCTTGATTTATGAAACACTTTTTTTGTCCTGCTAGGGTAAAATTTGTTTGGATTCCAGTTTGACAAGTTGACTTTGGTTGGCTGTGACGTTGTCTATTGAATAATCTGTGGTGATTGTTTGAAAACTGGCATTCTATGGTTATCCTGGAGTGCAAGACAAAAGGCTCTGGCAACAGACTTCAACAATATCCAAGCTGTGTTCACTCAAGTGACAGTTAAACAACTTTGTCATTTCTTGATTCCCTAATATTTTTACACTATTTAACTGAGCTTTAGTTAAGCTATTTTAGTATTGATATTTAAGATTAATGAAAGCTCTAATGATCGTCATCGACCAGCTTTAACTCTGTTTCTCTCTACATAGATGTTCCCTGATCCCCTGAGTATTTTGTAGCATTTTCAGTTTTCAGTTCACATTTCTAGAATCTGCAGTGTTTTTGGTTTTAAAGAAAAGTTTGAATATTTAATTTGCTATGCTTGCAGTGTTTTTTTTTGAGAAAATCAGTTTAGACTGTATTGTTATAACATTCAATTCTCAGTATGTTGCATTAAAAAGTTGCTTGTCTGCTTTTTTTTTTAAACATTGATCATTTATTATTGTCTTGTATGTTTCTCGTTTATTGGGATATACTTCGATACCACCTAGAAAAATTGCAAAAATACTGTATTGTTACATTTTCTTGTTTGTCCTGAACTTTATTTTCTTGGGAACCTTTCTGTGAGCTATAAAGATGGACTGAACACCTTCTTGTTATTTTTGACCTTGCTGAATTACAATGTCAAACATTATGATTATCACCAAACCCCTGCTGATTTTTAAAGTATTTTCCAAACAACCTGTTCAGTGATGTTATTACATTCCCGTAGAATAGGTGGGACTTGAACCTGAATCTCCTGGAACCTGAGTCTCCTGGCTGCAGAAGGGATGGACACTGCAACTGTGCCACAAGAATCCTGTTGTTCATCTTCTCTAGAATATAAGATGTTGTTGATTTAGTAAAGCTACCTAATTCAACTTGCCCAACCTGCTTGTTTGGTTTTTGGTGCATAGAAACATAGAAAATAGAAGCAAGAGTAGGCCATTTGACCCTTAAGTATGCTCCACTACTCATTATGGCAGGAATAGGCCATTTGGTTCTTTGAGCCTGCTCCACTATTCATTCTGAACATGGCTTATCATACAACTCAATAGTTTATCTGCTTTACCCTCCCATGCTTTGACCCCTTTGGCCCCAAATATTATATGCCACTCCTTCTTAAAATAATACAATGTTTTGGCTTTGACTGGTTTCTGTGGTAGCAAATTCCACAGGCTCACCACTCGCTAGATGAAGAAATTTCTTCTCATCTCAATCCTAAATAGTATACCTCTTATTCTTGGACTGTGACCTGTGGTTCTGGACTGCCCTGCCATTGGGAACATCTTTCTTGCAAGTACCTGTCCATTTCTACTAGAATTTTATTGGTTTGTATGGACTGAAGGATCAGTTCCTGTGCTATTCCGTTCAATAATTATTGAGAAGATGGTTGTAGGTGATGTTTGATTACATCAGCAATTACTCACTAATGAAATTCCGTGTCACTGGTTGTAGGTTCTACAGGTCCTTGCATGGCTCATGAGCCCAATCGTAGATCTGTGTCTTTAACCAGATGTTAGGCAGGTGTTTCCAGGAGGTAGAATTGCTCCTTAGTTTCTAGATTGCTGACTTTCCTTTCTCGGGAATCTTTTCCGTATTTCATTTCTGATGGGGGTTCTTGAAGAATTGTGTCTCTTCACATAGGAGGCTTCTCCAAATTGATTACATGTCGGCATTAACATCTGTCTTGTATTTCTTAGGGTAAGACTGTGGCAAGTCTTTGAAGCATTTCCTTGGTGGTTCTGTAATTCAAGTACCTATCTTGAGCTGGGCAAAAATGTTTTGCTTTGGCAACTCGTGCATCATAAACATGTGGCTGGCCCAATGGAGTTGGTTTTGGATTATCATGGCCTTGATGCTAGTGCTATTGGCTGCTTCAAGGACACTTGCTAGTGCATCTGTCCTCCCAGCTGTTGCGGAGAATCCATCTCAAACAGGATTTATGGTACTTCTCCAGGGCCTTGAGGTGCCATTTAGAAATAGCTCAGGTTGGAAGGATAGCTGCCCTATACACAAGTGTTTTGGTGTCAGAATGGATGGTGTGGTCATTGTTGACGTTCGTTCTTAGGTGCCAAGGCAATACTTGTGGATTGGATGCCGTGTTGGACTTCTACATTGATGTCAGCCTTAGATGGGAGGTGGCTCCCTAGGTAGGGAAAATGTTCCACATTTGAGAGGATTTTTCCGTTGATCTTAATGGAAGGATAGACCAGAACTTGCCTTGGGATGGTGTGGTAAGGCTCTTGAGTCTTCTTGGGACTGAGGCTGAGTACAAATCTTCAGTAGGCTTCCACAAAGGTATTAGGCAAAGCTTGAAGATTCTCTTCTGAGAGTGCAGAGATGACATTGTCATCTGCATATTGAAGTACCACAAGCTTTGTCAGTGTGCTTTTCTCTTGAATTTCAACCAGTTGAGGTTAAAACATTTTCCGTTCATCTTGTAGACAATGTGCACACCACTGAGAAACTTCATCTTGACAAGATGAAGAATGGTGCAATGACAATGGAGAAAAGGATGGGGGCAGTGTCATATCCCTGCTAGAGTCCTATCTTGATTGCAAACAATTCTAATAGCTTCTTCTAGGATTTCAAACATAGAAGCATAGAAAATAGGAACAGGAGGAGGCTTTTTGAGCCTGTTGCGCGATTCAGTATGATCATTCCAATTCAATATCCTGTCCAGCTTTCTCACGTTTTGATCCCTTTTAGCTCTAACATCCAACCAACCAATCTAAGTCTTTCTTGAAAGCATTCAATGTTTGAGCCTCAACCATTTTCTTTAGGAGAGAATTCCATAGGCTGACCACTCTTTGGTGAAGAAATTTCTCCTCATCTCAGTTCCTAATGGCCTGCCCTATATCCTTGGAATGTGACCCCTGGTTCTAGACTCCCTGGTCATCAGGGACATCCTTCCTGCATTTACTCTGTCTAGCCCTGTTAGAGTTTTATAGGTTTCAATGAGGTTACTCCCTCATTCTTCTAAATTCCATAGAATATAGTCTAAACTGATCCAGCCTCCCTTCGTACATCTGTCCTGCCAACCCAGGAGTTGGTAAACCTTTGTTGTACTCCCATCATCACCAGAACATCCATCCGCAGTTAACAAGACCAAAACTGCACACAGTCCTCCAGGTGTGGTCTCACCAATTCTCTGTACATTTGCAGCGAGACATTCCTGCTCTTGTACTTGAATCCTACATACCATTTATCTTCTTTACTGTTTGCTGCACCTGCATGCTTACTTTCAGCAACTGCTGTTCAAGGACACCCAGGTCACATTTCACCTCCCACTTTCGAAAACTTAGCACTATTCGACTAATTTGCTTTCCTGTTTTTGCCACCAAAGTGGATAACCTCACATTTACCCACATTCTACTTCATCTGCTGTCCATTTGCCCACTCCTTCAACTTGTCCAAATCGTACTGAAGCATCTCTGCATCCTCCTCACAGTTCACCCTTCCAACGAGCTTTGTATCACCTGCAAGTGTGGAGATATTATTTTTTGTTCCCTCATCTGAAGCATTAATATATATTATTAAAAGCTAGGATCCATGCTGTGATCCCTGCAGTACCCCACTCGTCACTGCCTGCCACTTGGACAAAGACTTGTTTCTTCCTGCTGTTTGTTTCCCTCTGGGCA